TTTTTTTTTTTTTTGTTGCAGATATGTTTTGCGTAGTTTTTATACGTTTTCTGCAGCTATGCAATGCAAAAGCGCATATTGACGAGGGGTTGTCTGTGTGTCCGTGTGTCTATGTGTGCTTCTGTCGCGCACTTTCATCTCAAGACCTATAAAAGCTGCAGGGCCGAAATTTCAGGGACTTATTCTACATGCACGTGCCGGCCCAGTCCCCAAAATGGGCACCATCACCCGCGTGGTACCCGCGTACGGGCCTGCCAAAATTTTTTCCGGGTGAGTTCATAACTTGGGGATCTGAGAAGCTAGAAAGCTGAAATCTTTGGGGGATGTTCCCCGTCCAAGTAGGTATTAGCGAGTTCAAACCCTGCCGGCGGGTAAGCGTGGCACCTACGTACGGGCTCTTGAATCTTTCTTCCGGGTAAGTTGCTAACTCGGGAAAGAGAGAAACTAGAAGACTGGGATTTTGAAGGGATGTTTCCTGACAGTCCTGGCGGCCAGCCTGAAATTCTTTTAGCAAGAGGCATCTGCCAGAAAAACCAGTGCCGTTAGCGACAAAAATCTGCGGGAAGCTATGCAAAAAACGCATCTTTGCATGGGCAGCCCGTCCGTTGGCCAATTATTTTTTTTTTCCAGATAATCGTATAACATTGCTGGAGAAAAATACGATCGAGCTGGAAGCGAAATTTCATGAAGAAATGCAACGGAACAAAATGGCGATTGCAACACAATCAGACACGCTGTAAGTTTTTCGTTTATTGAAAATTACTTTCTTATTGTGTTTGTAATAAAATGTTCATTTTTATATTGTTTGAGTAAAAGTGAAGACATTGAGAGAATTTCAAGCTCGGGAAAACTAAAGAAAATGGAAGAAGAAAAGAGCGAAAAAGATCGTAAAATTGCTGAACTGACGGAGGAGAAAGAAAGACTGTCCGAGAAATTGGAGGATGAGAGGAAGAACATGGAGAACAGGACAAATTTATTGGAACGAGAAATCGATCGTATAAGAATTGGTGATGATCGCAGGTATGTTATTTGTTCTTGTTAATATTTTTTTTATTTTCGATCACTTTACCGCAAAAGAAAAAACCCAGTTTGTAGAGATTCGGGCCAAAAAAATCCCTTCATATAACATGTCAACCATTACATACTCAGTAATAGCCTCCTCTACTTTCTTCTAATAAAAAAACGGTTTTAAGTGAATATTTTTCTGATATCCCTCCTCCACTTTCATCTAATAAACACCTAGTTTTAACTGATCGATTTTCTGCTGAGCAGTAAGTAATGGCAAACCAAAACCCCTTTCTACAATCATCTATTTTCTCGTTTTTCAAGTTGTATTTCTCATAAACCAAGATGATGAAGTTAAGATTTCGAGAGGATATGGCACGCATGGAACAAATGCGTCTGAAAATCGCCGATAGACGTTGCTTTACAACTGAACATGCTCGTAACAGGTACTTAGCTTCTTGCTTTATTACAGTTTAAGGCATGTTTTTTGTGAAGTTGAACTCACTATTGCGAATTGAAGCGGGAAAAGGCACAAGTGCTTAGAAAGCAAATTTCTTTTTTTTTTTTAATATGAAAATTTTGCATATTCTTCGCATTGTGGCGATTTTACATGAACTCTTGGTTTTTGTGCTTTTTATGCCACACCAATGGTGCAGAACGAATATTGTGAAGCCCCATTTGCATAGGTGTACGGGTTTTTCAATTCAGCAACCAGATATACTAAGAAACCGAGATTTTAGGCTTGTTTTCCTGTCGATGTTTCTTTTTCAAGTTCGCCAATTAGCGTTCACGTGCGTGTACACCTCCATATGGACGTGTAAAACATTTGACGGGAAATTTTCTAGTTTAGGGACTAGAAAAGATAGAAGTCTGAAATTTTAGGAAAATCTTTCCTGTCCAAATGGGACTCTAGGAATTTAAATTGGGCTCTAATATACGCCTGTTTCTCACATGCGGACACTTGAAAGTTCAACTGGAGCAATATTTCTGGCCCAAAAGCCTGGTAAGGTGAAAACCCCTCCTCTGTAGACTGAACTTCAGTTACTCCGTGCCTCCGCATCTCACGTACGATCATGTACAAGTTCAGGAAGGCAATTTTTAAACTCAAAAAGTAGATAAGACTAAGTTTTGAAACTTTAGGCGAATGTTTCCTGACCGGTGAACGTTCTCTAAAAAAAGTGTTTGCTACGTGGAGTTGCACGAAACGCATAAGTTCTGGGGTTTTTTGGTGTGTGTGTGCCATCATTTGATCTTTTAAAATACATGCTCAGATTTGTGCATCATGGACGAACATCATCCGGGACACGCGCCGGTCCTACGCCAACACACGTGCGAGCGAACTCAGCATCAGCACTGTTGCCATCCGAGATGCATCATCATCATCTGTCATCGCCGGACTCGGTTCACGCAACATCTGCTGACGTTCCTCTGGATTTATCGGGTGGCAGTAGTGCTGCCATTGCTCTCCCGATGCATTCGCCCTCGAAATCGGCAATAACATTCACGCAACCCTCCGCTTCATCATGCCACGAGGATATATTCGCTGCTGCTATTATTGCTGCTGATGAGGTTGCTGCTGCTGCTGCTGTAGCCTGTAGCGATGTCAGTG